TGCAATACATCTAAAGAAGGTACCTTTCAGACGAAGATTTAATTTTCAAAAGGCAAACTGGAAAGATTTCACAAAGGATCTAGATGAAAAAATATTTAGTATTGAAACCAAACCAGAAAACTATGAACTCCTTATTAAACTTGTAAAAATATCTGCAAGAAAACATATCCCGAGAGGTAGCAAAGAATATCATGTACCGGGCCTAACACCGGAACTGGAAAAACAACTAAGAAAATACGAAAAACTATGAGAATAACCCTTTCGACAGTACAACTATAAGAGAAGGAGAAATGCTATTTAGAGCAAACTCAGATATCAAAAGAAATAAATGGCGAGACATGATTAAAGGAGCAGATATGAAACACAGTAGCAGGAAAGCATGGAACATGATAAAACTACTTAATAACGACCCTATCCAGACTAAAACGCCGTCAAAAATAGCAGCTAATCAAATTGCTAGTCAACTGATAGAAAATTGGAAGACGGGTAAGACAGACATGAAGCAAGACGAATATAAAATCCAAAGGGATAGAGATAACGAAAAAGAAGATCTTAGTATTCCAATTACCAGCGAAGAACTGGAAAATACTATAGGAAACATGAAAGATCGTAAAGCAGTGGGTCTGGATGATATATTCACAGAAGAAATTCGACATTTTGGACAAATGACAAAAACATGGATACTTAAACTCTTCAATAATATTTGAATAACACAAAAAATACCTAAAATCTGGAATAAAACCAAGATAATCACACCCCCAAAACCGAGAAAAAACCTTACAGACCCAAAACATTTTAGACCAATATCATTGTTGTGTCATATGTACAAAATTTTCGAATGAGTTCTACTAAATAGATTAATCCTATTTGTGGATGAAAAGTTAATACCACAACAGGCAGAATTCCGACCTGGGAAATCATGCACAGGACAGATTTTCAACCTAACCCAGACAACAGAAAATGGTTATGAAGCAAAGAAAATCACAGGTGTAGTTTTCATAGAACTAACAGCTGTCTATGACACGGTAAATCATAGAATAATGACATACAAGCTATATAAAATCACAAACGATTTCCATTTCGTAAAATTAGTAGAAACTTTATTAATAGAAGGTTTTTTGTAAATCATAACGAAAAAAATAGCAGATGGAGAAATTCTAAAAAATGGTCTACTACAGGGCAGTGTACTAGCACCAACAATGTTTAATATATACACCAACGATCAACCAATATCAAAAGACCAATCCATAAACCATTAAATATATGCTGACGATACCGCTATTGAAGTGCAGGACACGAGTTTTGAAACAGTGGAAAAAAAGTTAACAATGATACTTAAAGAGGTTGATACTTATTACCAAAGAAATTACTTGCGACCGAACCCAGCGAAAATCCAAATATGCTCTTTCCATCTGAATAATAGGGAATCAAACCACAAATTAAATATAATTTGGGATGACATAGAAATCGATAATGCCCAACATCCCAAATATTTAGGAGTTACTCTGGATAGGTCCTTAACATACCGAGCTCACTATGAAAAGCTAAAGAAAAAGATAGCGTCACGAAACGGACTGTTACAAAAGCTAACGGGGAACTGCTGGGAAGCCCAGCCACACACATTAAGAACTACTGCAATGGCTCTATGCTTATCAACAGCCAAATACGCATCACCATTATGGGGGAGATCTACCCACTCAAAACAAATTGATGTCACACTAAATGACACGTGCTGACTGGTGACTGATTTTATACGAAATTCTAAAGTTGAAGAAATATATGTACTAGCTGGAATTGCATCACCGCCAATTAGGAGGGCAGTGCAAGCAGATTGGGAAAGAACAAAAATGACAAAAGACGATAGACACCCAATGTATGGATTTGAAGTAAATAATTTCTAGTTAAAATCGAGAAATAGTTTCCTAAAAAAGGCGAAATGCTTAACGACTAAGAGGAAAATTATGCAATGGACAAACCAAATTAAAGACAAAATATGGGTCCCCATCGAAGCGTTATCACTAGGGAATCAACTAGAATGGATTCTGGAGAACTTTAAACAGAATAAGAACAGGAGTTGAATGCACAAAGGATAACATGAAGAAATGGGGACTACTAGAAGGAACATCTACAACTTGCGAATGTAAGATGGAACAAACAATGAAACATATTCTGCAATGCCCAATCTGTCCTTACTCATGCACACAAAAAGATGTTATGAATACAAATGACAACGCTAAAGACGTAGCTAGTTTTTAGACTGAAACCATATGAACCATCAAACGAGAAATAGTTACCATTGATGTGACTTAGAATTATTATACTCGGATAATTTTATTTTCTATTTTTTGTTTGCCTTTTACATTTATATTTGAAGTTTTGGTTTATAAGTATACTCTGTTAGTTATATATTTTATGTTTAAAGATTTTACCTATATAATAATGGTTTGCCTGATACAAGAAAAAAAAAGTAGAAAATAAATCATAACAAATATAGAAATGTTTCACTTCAATTGGTACTTAGATATTTAAAAAAAAATAGAAACTAGCATTTAAAAAATTACGTATGTTTTACTACAGCCATGTAATCTTTCACATGAATATTTATATTTTCAAACAGTCCAACGTTTTTAATGACTAACAAATATTATTACAATAATTTAGTAAAAATAATAATAATTTAATCTATAATATAAAAATGAATCGCAAAATGTGTTGGTAAGCGCATAACTCAACAACGCCTGGACCAATTTGGCCAAATCTTTTTTTCAAATGTTCGTTGAAGTTCAAGGATGGTTTTTACGGCGAGAAAAATTAGAATTATTGCTGGAAAAACCCTAAAAATAGCCCTTTTTGACCCGGTCGATAACTGCACAATTGAAAATGAATTATTAAATAAAACTATTAAAAAACTATAAAAAAAACTATTTAAAAACTATTAATTTTATTTTTGGTAGTAAATGACGGTTATTGCATAAATATTAAACAAAAAAAGATCCCGCAACAGGTGTCAAAACAAATAAGAATGTTAGTTCGAAAAATTATTATGCATATCGGTTGATGATTAAACGAGATCAAGACAAAATTATTCTACGATATCATGAGCTTCGTCAACAATTCATGGTCGAAATGTATGTAAAGACAGAGAGCGAACGATTTTGATACTTGCGATTTAATCAAAAAAAGCTGCGTGCAGAAGATTCTCAAAACAATTGTTAGATATTGGAGACGGGAAAGTTACTACAGATAAAACGGAATGTATAAAATTACCGACCGATTTCTGCACAATCATTTATTCGCAAGATGCTCTCATTGACTAGATATTTTCCAATGTACACAGACAATACATAAATCATGAGTAGCTGGCAGAAAGGGCAATTTTAGTAGTAAAAAATGTGGACGTCAACGAATTGAATCTCAAGATAAACATTTATCACCAGGAGACATGGTGTCATACAAATCTATAGATATAGTTTGCTATGCTACTGAAGCTGTAAATTATCTAACAGAGTTTTTAAACTCATTGGACTTACCAGGCATGCCACCGCATAATTTACAATTGAAGGTTTGTTCTTCGGTTATTTTGCTTCATAATTTGACCTACCACGGTTGTACAACGACACGCGATAAGTTGTTAAAAAATTAATGAAAAATGTTATTGAAGCCATAATTTTAAATGGCAAATTCCGAGGTGAAAATATATTATTACCGCGAATCTCTATTATACCCACAGATGTGCCAATACAATTTAAACGCTTTAAATTTCCAATTAGATTGGCATTTGCAATGACTATCAATAAGTTTCAAAGCCAAACAATGTCTGTAGCTTAGATTTGAGCACATCATATTTTTCACACGGATAATTATACGTGGTGTGCTCTCGAGCCATCCAGTTTGTGTTTGCGAAAGATGGGATTACAAAAAATATTGTACACTCTGTTGCATTAAGGGATAGATATTGTTTTTTACTTATATTGTCATAATTAGCGATATATATTATTTTAATGGATCAATTTTAATAAATTATTAAAAAAATAAATGTTTGATGTTTTTTCATTTTTATATTTCGTTACCATTCATAGCACGCCATATATCTTCCTTACATCCTTATCCTTACCCACATTCTTACATGCCTATATTTAATTAGTTATTTTTTTCTAGCAAAATATTCTCTAGAAATAATTTATATGACAAAACAACGTTTGTCGGGTCAGCTAGTATAATAATAAAAATGTAATTTACCATTTTTCATTAAAATGTTTTATTGAAATAATGGCCACAAATTATCACAAGATAAACAGTTATTAGGTAAAAATATAAACAGAAGTGTTAGTCAACTATTTACAGTATTAGAATAAATCTAAGAATAATAAAATAAAACATTTATTATTAATTGTATTATTTTTTCATACTAGTTAATTTTAATTTCATACAACAAAAATAAATTAAAACTATCTGATAAATATATTGGTAACAAATAAAAATGTAAAGCAACTTACTCATTTTACAAAATATAACAATAAATAATACAAATAATTTGTTTATAGGAAATTCAACACTCAATAAATATATATTTTTAGGCACCTACAATTAATCTTTAAACAATGAATACTATAATTTAAGACAATAAATTGCAAAAATTATATTATTGATATTAGAAAATCAATGTGATAAAAATATAGTAAATAATAAATAAATTAAGTTCATAATATTTAAATTTAAATAATTACCTATTAGTTCAACTATAATTATAACAAACTACTAAACATCACTTTTCTTTAAAATTGGTGCGATTTGGTGTACAATGTTAAAAATTGTCTAATCATGTTTTTAGCTATAATAATTTAGTATGTGTACTTATAAGCTATTTGTATCAAGTTCTTTAAGTTTAGAGAGCACAAGATTTTTAAAAATCGATTGAAGGGTGTGATTAAATGTAATTTTCAATTTAATATATTTCATTTCGCGCATTTAAACACTAAAAATGTTCAAAAAATAAATATTAAAATACATTTATACCTTGCATTTTAATATATAAAACCTCTGATTTTAACTATGGATAATATTTTTATTATCGTTAATTGGAAGTGTATTTTTTGCAATAGGATGCTTAGCATACAACACCACAGAACATGAAACAATCATTACAGCTGTCACAGTTTGCAAAGTAATAGGGTAACCCAGAAGTACCCATGAAAATATTACAATAAGGACTAATTCAATGGCAGTTGCAAAAACTTTCATGATTGAATTTAAAGTTTGTAGTAGTAAACTAGTTATTACACCATAAACAGCACTGTTTATTACTATTAACATAACCTAAACAAAAAACAAAATGTTGTAATTAACTTAGTGGAAAAATAGTTAATTTTATTTACCAGATAACTTTTAAATATGTCTGTTTGAGAGGTACTGCTTTTGTTGTTTTCATTAATTTTAAATATTGTCCACACAAATAAATTACAAATTATTGAATCTACATACATATATATATTCTGTAGGTAAACATTCACCTTTGCACCTTGACCTTTCTTAAGTAAATATTCATTGTAAACACCAGCTAAACAGGAACATAGTATTTGAGTTAAAATAAGCAATAAAGAAGTAAAATAATTGTATGATTGTTGTCGCAAATTGACATCTATTTTCAACTCTTTAATTATACATCCAATTGTTAAAAGGATTAAAGAACACCATTGCATTTTGCTAAGTTCCTTTTTAAATAAACACTGATAAATGACACCAATCAGTAATACTCGTAGTTGAAGAAAAATAAAATATGTAGTTGGATCAAATAATGATAGATTTACAAACGCCAAATAATTATACAAACAGTATAAAAACGAAGGCACCATATATAGAAAAAGTACTGAAAAATAAAAAAAATAGATATGCATTTCTACAATCTATTATAATAAAATATTATTAAAAATAGACACTAACCTGGATAATTTTCTTTAGTTAGATTGATAATACTTCTTAAAGGATTTCTAAAGAAACAAAGTAAATCATTTTCATTTATTTTTACAAAATAGTTTAGAGGTTTTATAAATATTTCAATTATATCTTTGTTTATATATATATAAGTTAAAGCATGAACTTACTCTATGCAAAACAGAAAAAAAGATATTATAAGCTTTATAACTTCAGTTAAAATAATAACTGAAATAACATCATAATTATAAGTGCCATTTTTTTGAGATAATTTTATTAATAATCCTGTAAAATAAATGTATAATCATTTTTTATTTTAAAAACCTATGATAATAGTTAAAAAAATATTTGAAAAATTAATTTTACCGTGGTTCATTGAGAGTCCTATGTACATGACGAATATAATGAAAGACTTCTTGGTAGGAAACAAACCTGTCCAACAGTTGGAACGGCACATTGACATTGTTACTAAGACTAGATAGCTTTGGAAATAGTCGAATTTTATGGGTGTGGAACTGAGAAACCTAATAAAACATGTATGAAAATTAAACCTACAATGAACACAAATGTACTTTACCGAGATAATGGAATAAGAAAAGTATACTAGTCTAGTGGCCTACACAACTAAACACTAGTCACTAGTATACTGTAGATTTTGAATACTACATTTTTTGTTTTTTAAATAAATTCATACAAAACGATCAAGATAAAATTGTTACCGGAAAGCGGAAACACTATCACTGGTACATTGATATCGTTGTCAAAAATACAACTAAAGTGAAGCTAATCGACTTCTTTACTGGTTATTACCATATTTTTTTATTTTTATTGTACACGTCGTGCTCAGTTTTAAATCTACATCCATGTTACGGTGCATGATTATGTATTTCTGATTGAATAGTTTTTTCAATACTCAACAGCTAATGAGTCAAAACATCTTGAGATTATCAACGAACATTCAACATCAAATTACTTTTGAGTCTCTCCGTTACTCACAGATAGCGCGGTAAATACTGAAATAAAAAATTTCAATTTTTAAGTTTAATTTAAAAACTATTATTATTAAAATAATTTATCTTCGATAAAGGTTCACAAAAGAATTAATGTTTCTTTGTTCGTCTGCTGTATATTAAAAAAATACTGAACCGATTTACGCTTCAATTTTTTTTGTAAAATGGTCCACATTGTTTAGATCCATGGTTCTCAACCGGTGTGTCACGTATTACTTTGGTGCATGTCACCAAAATATAATTAATTAAAACAGTTAAGCTTTCAAAATTTAAACATATTGTATTATTACGACATTATGATGAAATAATAAAATCAACATATAAGAAAAACAATTATAAAGATATTTTTATTAATTTGTATCTCATTTATTAGAAATATCATCAAATACAACGTCAAAATCTAAATTTTATGTCTCAAAATGATTTATTTCGGAAATCTCTGCCAAACGAATACGCCCAAATGAACAAATAAGAATTGAAAATGTCGCTTTCTTTTCAACATTATACATAGGTGAATCAGCATTTTTGACATTGGAAATAACAGAGAACAAAAAAGAAATTGAGAATAAATTACGCATAAGTTTGTCAACCATTCGCCCACGAATCGGAAACCTATGCAGGCCCGGATCCTTATGAAATAATACGGTTTTTATAATACTTTATCATTAACTGTTTACATTTTAACTAAATACCTAACTTAATTTTTTTTTTTTAAATAACATTTCAACATATAAATGTATTAATTTACAAAGGATTGAAATTCTTAAATTTCAAAAATCCATCGTTGTTTCAAGTATGTTGCCATTTTTATGGATCTAAATTAGGGTGTCATACAAAAAAGATTGAGAATCACTAGTCTAAATAAAGCATAAATAGTTATGAAAATTCCCAGTTTCAGTAGAATTAATAAACCTCACAAGTAGTTTTGGACCGAATACAAATATACATCTACAATAATATTTTTTTAAATTATTTATTACCCAGCTACCTAAGACCTAACACATATCCATAGTGCCGGGTTAAGAGGGGGCAAAGAGTGCAGTTTTTTAGGGGTGACAATTTCTTAACAGCGAAAACGAAAGTTTCGAAATTGTTTAATGTATTATAATTTCTAGGAAGAATTATTAATTACCTATTGAAAATGTGTACAACAAATTAAAATAGTGATATAATATATCTTCTACCGTAGAATTATCAGGTGAATGAGCATTGATTATTTATCAGCATTATTGATATGACTCTATTATGCTCGGATCAATGCATTTATATTTTTGTTGGCATTATCGAATTATTTTCAAGTGAAAATTGTATGCAATATGTAGTAAGATTACTGACACCAGGAATTTTTTTATGGGGGGGAGGTCCAACATTTTTATTTTATCTGATAATGGGAAATTAAAATACACTATACTATTATTATACTATTTACTGTTAAATCGTTGAGTAAGTAAAAACTTCAATTTGGGGGAGGGAATTCTTTTTTTTGATAAAAAAAAAATAGATCGTGTAAGAATAACTCGTAAGCAACTTGTCTTTAAATCCTACTTTGGACAAAGGTACCTAAGGTATCTATAATCGATATAAATCTTTCAACTCGATGTTCTCATACAAAATTTGTTCAATGTAATTTAAGCTTGATTATAAATACAATAAAAAAAAAAAAAAAAAAAAAAAAAACAATAGAATTCATAAAATCAACTAATTTAATGATTAAAGAAGTCAAAAATATTTATACATAATAAATGATCCAACAATACTTCGCTATGTTAGATTTTATACATAGATTATAATGTACTATTACGTTCAAAACAATTTTTTTTCATATGCTCGGGCTTTTTTAAATATGTATTCATTATTTAGGGTTATGGTTATTTAAGTTGGTATAAATTAAAAATTTACAAGAATTTATTAAAATTTATAATTTATTTTTTTAATTTAATTTATTATTTATTATTTTTTATTTAAGTTTATAATTTATTTTATTTATTATCTATAAGTCTATATATTTTAATATTTGATACAACAATTGACCGTTATGCAATAACAATAATTAGGTAAAATTTTTATAGATTCTGAAAGATAATTGCCCATTGATTATAATTTTTAATTAATTCATGGTAAGACTATTAACTTCGACGTAGACGGGAGGGGATTGAGAGACGGTCGAATGAGTTGTTATATTTATTTATTTACAGGGTTAGTCCTAAAAGTTATGCGTTTTTTTTTTTTTTTAAATGTATAGATCCATTATGTACAAAAACTTAATATTTTTCAAAATAATCTCCTGATCAAGCTTCGTCAGTGACGTCCTCCCGGCCTTCTAGGAATATTTTGTACCATCGGTTTGACTGGGATCGAGAGAGGTAATCTTTCTCGAAAGCTTGTTGAAGCATTTGAAAAGTTTTCAGCGGCGTATTTTTAAATTTAACTCAAAACTTGATTTTTGATCGCTGATCGAGGAGCCGCTCCATTTTTACCTTGACGAATTCACACTACAGTGGTTCACGAAATCATACATGTACACATAGATTTTTTTTATCTTTATATCTTTTATCCTCACTATTTAAAAATGATGTTCATATGCTATTCATAATCGACATAAAACCTAACCATATATCCATATAGATATCATTATCCTAGTCATATATAATTTGTAATAAATTGTTTATGATCAGGACCGGATTAAGACATTTTGCGCTCTGGGGTATAAGTATGTTTAAACCTCCCTAAGATTCAATACTTTTTTTTATAAACAGGATATTATTTTACTATAACTTGGTAAATAATTTAATATTTTAATTACCACACATTTTATTAAAAGTCATAAGAAAAATAATGAAATAATATGTCATAAATCTTTTTATTATAACTTTATCAATAAACAATATTAATGATACAATAAGAATGTAAATAAATTTATAAAAATAATAATTTTGTAAACATGATTAAAATTTAAGTTAAATTAATTAATTAAAATTATTATATAAAATATTTGGTAAATTACGTAAGTATATTATTTTATTTTTGTTAATTATAATATTTTTATAAAAATATTTTCGTTGACTTTTGTTCAGCGAATTGGTCAATACATTCATTCCATGAAATAGATTCAAGCGAAACATTTTCAATATTAATAACAGTAAATTACTTTAATTTTTCTTTTGAAAGAGTATATTATAAATAGTTTTTGACTCTAAATAGGACATTCTTTAAAAATTATGCGTATTTAAAATCTTGCGCTCGGGAACACATGCCCAACCTGTCTCCCCATGTATCCGGCTTTGTATATAATATAGATACGAACACACAAATGTTGTAAATGTTTTTCTAATTCTGATTTTTGGTTGACGTAAATACGTAGCATTACAGAGTCTTTTGAAACAAATATGATGTTATGATGTTACTAGGTACAGTAGGTATGATATTAAATAGATATATCAATATTATAATTTCTTTGGTTTGTCGCTTGGTTTCAGGTACAACACAACATTATCCTTTACAAGAAAAATGAATAAAATACAAATTTTTACTGACTTCAATGTTTATAGTCATAGAACTCTAGTAATTTTACTTTTTAGTTTCTCCAGAAATTTTTTAAGTAATCCAGTAAACGTGTCACATTAATCTTCTTCTTCTTAGGGTTTATTAGGCCTTAAGACCATCCCATCTCACAATCAAGCGTCCATCCTTCTCTATGCAGTGCTAGAATTCTCCAATTGGAGTATCCTTCCATCTATTCAACATTATTTTTTATAGCATCTTCCCATCGCATTCTTAGTCTTCTCAAAGGCCTTTTACCTACAGGATTTTGTTCAATCACAGCATGCAGTAGTGGATTTTGGCTCCTCCAAGCGTGACCTGCCCACCGTAGTCTTATACTTCTGATAACCTCTCATATACTCGAATTACCATACAATATTTCCGATTCTATGTTCTTTCTTCGTCTCCTCTCAACAGTTATTTCGTCTCTGACCGGCTCATATATTTTCCGCAACACTTTTCTTTCCAAGATAATGAATCTGTGATTGTCCATTTTTCTAAAAGCCTTGTTTCCGATCCATACAATATAACTAGTCATACCAGGGACGTATACAATTATTCTTTCATTCTTCGCAATATTGCTCGAAGGCTTAGTACCTTAGACCAGTGGTGGCCAAATTACGGCCCACGGGCCAACTCCGGCCCGCCATCATTTAATATCTGGCCCGCGAAAGTCTTCTATATTAGAGCACTTATTTGTATAACTGTAATATTTTGCATTTACGTAAAAAAAATTTAGAATGCATTTTTTTATGGCCCGCGATAAAAAAAAAAGGTGTTTTTTATGGCCCGAGGAAAAAAAGTTTGGCCACCACTGCCTTAGACAATCCATAGTAACATTTATTTATAGCTTGAATTCTTGCTACCTCGTGATCTATAATATTTTTTTCAGTCAAAAGGGTACCGAGGTATTTGAACTATTCTATCCTTTTAAATTCAAAGTGACCTATTTTTATACACTTAAAAATATAAATAGTATAATAACAACATTATTGATTTTATATTTTATGTATATAATATAGGCATACAATTTTTTAATTTTTCAAGAACGTTATACTTATTTTTTATTGACAAAAGTAGTACTAAAATTTTCATTAGAGTGTCGAGTATAACAGCAAAAAATTTCAGCCAAATCGGTTCAGTAGTTTTCTCAGTTAGCCCGGTCGTAGAAAACCCCTTACAATTTCGTATAATAGTATAGATAGATAGACATTGCGAGTATAATAAATTATTTTTATAACAGTTAAATATAAGTTGTATAATTTATTATAAAACCAATAGTAAAAGTTAACCTACTCTCATATTAAATGCTTATTATAACAGTAAATTAATGAAAATATAAATGTATTAACTAATAAATACACACATTTTTCTTTATTGAGTACAGTTTGAAGTTTTGAGGTATATAATAAGTCAACATTTCATTAACATTTGTACAGATTATTGAATTTGTAATATGTAATCATATTAACTATTAACTATACCTAATGCAACTAGTTTATACGAAGGTTGACATATTTTAAAAATTATATTAACTCTGCAATAATAGAATTAGAAAACTAGTTGCTGGTTTTTAGTTATATAGTTTTCTATTAACTTTTGTAAAATGTCTACATATAAACTGTGATTTATTTATAATCACAAGGAATATAACTGATAAAAGATACTTGAAGTGAAATGCACATTATTATTTTGTCTATTTAAGCTTTTACTCAATAAAAATATATTATTTTCTATAAATATGTGATATTTCACATATTTTGATGAATTAATTTATGCATAATTTAGGTTTATTTAGTTATAATTAATTATATCTAAACTTTAAGATATTTAGATAAGTTGAGCAGTTAACTATAATAAATAATTATGAATAGTTCTATAATAAAATAAATTATTGTATTATCATAAAAAAAAATAATACGTTTTTTACAACGAAACGTTATTTTACATTAAATATTCAGTATACTTACATTATATTAATAAAGATGTATTTTGTTCAACAATCAGTCATCTTAGTTTTAATCCTGGATTCACGATTTGCTTCGTTGCTTACAACCTTCGCCTCAAATAGTTAATGTAATGTAACCTACATTGGTAATAACCTATGTATCAAATGACGAATTCGTGTTCACGTTTTAATGCGCAATGCACAGATTACAACTTGCTCACTGATTTATAAGTATATTGCTTAAACCAATTATAAGAATTGATACTTTTATAAAATGTATAAAGAGATGATTGTTATTTGATCACATTAATAGTATAGCGAACATCAATTAATATAATTCCACTTTCATTATAAAAATTACATCTCTAATTGTTCATATCTTTATCTAAAATATTTGACACTATATTTTCAAATGATTATAAACATAAACAATAAACATAAATCATAATAGTTTAAGTATTATTATTAATTATAAATACTATAGTAGTTCAATGGTAATACGTAAAAAATATTGTCTTTAGTAATCATTATTAATATGTAAATAATAAAATCATGTTATTCTCATTGTATCAAAAGACTTCATAAAAACAAAAAAATGTTTAAAAAAGGCTCTGGGTTCAATCTTTTAAAGTCGATATGCATAGACAAAATGTGGATTTCATATAAAGTGTGTTCTTCTTTTTCATGATAAATGTATCAAATTGTATATATATATATATATAATTAATAAAAAATACATATTTTAAATATAATTTGACTGTAACTTTCTGTTATAAGATAGTATTGTTTTTCCTTATAATTCTAATAATCTTGTTGTTAAGATCTTTAGCTTGGAGACAGGCATTTAATAAGAGTGATGTTAAAATCAATTGTCAGAATATCAGATGTACGATAAATCATCACGCAAATTATACCATAACTTAGAGCTATAGATAGATATACCAAAATTGTTAAGCAATACCTATAAATTATAATTATGGATGGACAATTAACTTGCTTGTTATCAATAATTCATAATTATAACAATTATAATAATTTAAAAGACATATAACTCAAGCTATGTCACATTATGATTTACATCTTATTTTTTACATAAGTAAAATAATTATTTGAATTATCAATTATACTTAATTTATTAACAATACTACAATAACATTTTTTTTTATAAGAATAACAAAAAAAAAAAAAAAAAATGTAAAATATCAAATTACTTGATAGTTTCTAAGCAATAAAAGAAGAGAACAAAATTACTTCTTCTTAGACTGCTACATTTCATTGAATATTAAAAGATGCTGAAGTTTAGATTCTACAATATTAATTTTTTTATACATTTTAATTATTTATATTGTATAAAAACGTCTATACCTCTCTATACTTCTCGTATAATTTAACCTATCATGATTTGATATTTAGTTTTACTGTAAATATGCGAATAATTTTAAAAATATTGGGAAAAACATCTTACATTTTTCATTGATCATGTAAATCTATATGTGAAGAATTATCATTGATTATAGAATAAATGTTTTCTATAATCAATAATAATATAAAGTATCTGTATTTGCTTTACTATTTAAAGTAAAATTTAACACATTAACGCATAATTTGTATTATATTTCATAACCTGTAAATATAATTATAGATGAATGTAAATTATTATGTAATATGAATATTTAAGGGAGATAAGACTTTCAAGTCTAAAGATCATAATAATTTACAATACATACCTATATGTATATCTATACGTTTTCCGTGAATAATTTAACTTTATGTCTTCATGACATTATTCGTCTTATATTATCTTTATAGCGCACATACATTTTAATCTATGCTCTCATGAACCTAATACGTTTTGATTGTTTTTTGTGTTTTTTTAGTTACGGCAATTTAATTAGTTATTATCACTTAATCGATGTTATTATTGGTACTTATAATCAATAGCTTATGCAGTGCAGTGATCGCTATTAACTAGTGTAGTTTGTTTTAGTTCTAACTTCTAAGTTCTAATGTAATTTCTACAGTAAGAAATTCAGAAGGTTATTAAACATTAGCAATGAATATAGTATAACGATATTAATTTAATACCTTGTGAAAGGTCGAATAATTAAGAATCTAATTGATTTTACAATCAAGTCTTATAATAGGTCATAGTGCATTTTGCATATTTAACTTAAATTTTACTTAAAATCTGTAAAAGTCATGACTCAAAGTAATCAAAATGCGATTTCTCCGAAAAATACAACAGCGTCTTCAAGAAATGACAAAGTAGGAGCATTTGCAGCTGTATTACTATCTGGAATGGTTATCGCTGCATTTGTAGGATATTATTTAGTAGTGGGAGAAGAATCGCGGAAAAAAAATTCATTACAACTTATAATTGCCGTAAGTGAAATCTAAATCAATGATCGAAATATGTACCTTTTTTTAAAATAAAAAATATAAAATCTTTGTAGGTTTTTAGACAAGGAGATCGGAGTCCATTGAAATGGGAAACATATCCAAATGACATGTATCCACCTATGAGTGAAGGAACTTGGCCAGATGGCCTTGGGCAATTGACTAATGTAAGAATATGATATTATTTTTTTTTGGTTTTGTGGCATTTCGTCAACAATAGAAATAGTTTAAAGGGAACCTATTGGACATTTCTTTTCTGTTAGAACAATTACATAAAAATTAATATCAGCATTCCACAAGTATAATTATTTATTTAAAATATTAAAATGTTATCAGACCTTTTGGAAGGAGGTTTGATTCTTTGTACCATTGTTACATAGTTAGGCAGTGCATTTTATAAGGAATTTTCACTGGGCGACAAAAAATGTTTTTCTCAAAATATTCAATGTAATACCATAGTACGATTATAGTATTACACGTTTGTTTCGCATTATTTCGCTCAATCTTTCAAAATATTGTCGACAGAGTATAATCACTGGGCGACATTTGTGTCATCTAGTTAACTAGTTAAAAAATGCACTGTAATTAGGGGAATATTATTAATATAATACAAATATGAAAAATATTTTATTTAAATTAAAAGAGAATACAAAGTGAACATTTATCATAGCTCCAGCGAAAAAAATTTTGCTTTTACATCTAATTCTACTGATAATATATATAAAATTTTAAACATTTTGTTTGATATACTTTTATCTATCGATTTAAATCATCTTTTTCGTTTCCTTCTAAGTACCCATAAATAAAACAATGAAATTGACTTGTTTTTAAATTTAATAAAATTCACTTTCAAAATTATTTATTTATAATTTTAATTTTAAATTAATTTAAGTTGCTCTTAAGAAATAAAATATATTAAGTAGATAATTTTAAAAATAAATACTGCTTTTTGTTTCTTTTTAACTTAAAATAAAAATCATTATTTTAGATATGACCTACCTAATTTAATTATGAATCTTTTACACGTTTAATCAAATATCATAACTAATATTAATTTTAACTATTAGGCAGGTAAATTAAAGTCCTATGAATTTGGAAGACGTTTTCGAAATCGTTACACAAAATTTCTTCCATTTACTGACAAATATAGCTTTATATCGGTACATAGTACAGATACAGATCGTGCGGAAATGACAGCATCAGCATTTTTAGCGGGAGCATTTCCACCAGCTGGAAAACAGATTTGGAACAGTGATTTACTGTGGATACCAATACCAATCTATTCAATATCTCCAGATAAAGATGATGTAAGTTTTAATCTTAAAATTAAAATAATTATTAAAAATATTGTAAGTTTAAGATATTCTGATTTTATTCATTAAGAAAAATATTTCGGATTGGTAAAACGTAATAGATTAATAATCCAAAGTATCAATGGTAAAAAATTAAAATAACCAATAGGTGTAGCAAAATTTGTCATTATAGATTTTAATTAACTGAAAATCTATCTCAGCCAGGAATATGTAGTAGTGTTTGCTAATAAAATCCTAGAAAATTATCTTGGTTATTTGTAACTCCAGTTTAATAGAGAATGATCTAAGCAATTAAATTATTCTAAATCGATTATATTGACTTTTTTTTTCTGTAACCGTACAATCTGTAATTATAGGTATTATAATCAGTAACTACTAGAATGGGCCTTTCTGAATTTGTCGAATTCCAAATCCGGATTTCATGGATTATCTGGATTATTCAATTCAATTTTGTTGTTCAATGACTTACTATTATGTACACATAAGCTTGATTAAGGTTATGCAGTAAAAATAGTTAAATGTATTTTCAGTTATGATATCACTGCAAGTCATAGAGATATAAAATATACTCAAAATTGTTATAACTTGTTTTGGTAATTAATAATAAATTCTAAAAACTGTTGAAGTCATGATAAGTGTACTGTATTCATAAAACAATATTGATTTGTTGTTAAATTTTAATGAAAACGTTAGTAAATGAGTTGAGATAAATTTTTAACTGGTTGAATAGAGAGATATTTGTAAATAGTGCCATTTGAGACAAATTATGGGGTTTTGGTTATTTTACGGAGGTATTTGGGCTGAAATGTTTAGATTTTAATTTTATTTAATTCATTTTAGAATATTTGGCCGCTCCTTAAACTGGATTCCATATTTCCATAATAGTTTGAGGAGCAATTTATACAAGAGAAGTTTGTTGTTAAAATTAACGTGTATAGAAATCAGCAAAAGGCGTAGTCGTAGGTGCACATTGTGTGTGAATTCAGGGGGTGCTGGAATAATTTAAAATACACAGGTCTGTGGGGGGCTCTGCCTCCGCACCCCCTAATACTTAAATCAACTGCATTGCAATAATTTTTAATTTTCATTAATGAATATTTAAAAGTAATTGTATTATAAGTTATAATAATATGTTATTATAATAATATATTAAACAAGAATTAATTTCCTGTTTGATAATGCAAATTTTTCCAATATAATTTCCCCATTTATTTTATTGGTAAGATCTCTCTCAATGCTAAGCGTAGATAGCTTAGTAAATCTTTCTTGTTCTATACTAGTGCGTAACCAATTTTTAAATCTACGCATAGCTGAAAAGGAGCGTTCATACGTTGAAGAAGAAATTGGAATTGTTATTACCACTTGAACTAGTTCATAAACATTTGGAAACGAACTTTTATTACATTAATTTTTCAAGTCTTCAAATTTAAAGTTGGCTGGTAGACATTTCTACTGATAAACTAGCTGTCGATATATTCAAAATAACCTGATATATCAAAAATATGAACTAGTATATAAAATGTAAATAGTAATGAATCATATCGTTTGTATGATTGATAATAATATTTATCCTTCCGCATACAATTCTGTGTAGTCCACTGGTTTTAAATATCACTAAAAACCAAGTAATAATCAAAGTTATAAACAGAACATAACTTCGTAGTCAACCGTAAACCGTAGATAATATAAGAATATAAATTAAGATAAGATAATATTATTTTCTATAATATTATGATTGCTGTTTATCAGTGGCGTACATACGGTGGAGGGCAGTGGTTGAATTGAGGGGGGGACGCAGAGGGTCTGAGCTACTCTTCATTTTTCTTCATATTATAGCGTACCCCTTAATTTAATTCATCAAGGAACGCAGGGGACGCAGCATCCTTCAACAATTATATGAATATGAATTTGTTTCTTAGAAAAATTAAATAAATATGAAAAAAAATTGGAAACAATTAATATTTTATTTAATTTTTGGTATTATAATAGTTCGTAATCTGTTCATTATTATTAGCACATATGTATATTAGGAACGCAATAATAAAATATATAATAATGTTATATAATTTATGTAACACGTTTCAAGTGTTTCCACTGCGTATTAATTCGTGGTATAAACTGCTAAATTGCTAAAAATATAACTATTACGAAAACTTCCCTGGGTGTACCGACGATAACGATCCATAGTAAACCACTGACAATAATAATATATTGACTTCGTATTTTGAGAATCCGTCCGTTGTTTTAGTTATCGACGATTAACAAATGGTGATCGTTTTCAAGGAAAATTAAATATTATTTATATTTTATTTAGAAACGAGGTGCGCCACGAATGAGTAATCAGTATTATATTAGCTTGTCGCGTACTCGCGTATGTAATTTATAAATTGTAATTTTGTTGAAAATAGTAAACACCTCAACCGCACTCTTACAGTCCTACACGTCACGTCAGCAATAAACAAATAAACATGAATAAACGTCAAAAATTGTCCATATCGGACTTTTTCAATAAAAAGAAAAACAATGACCAAGGTAATTAAAACACTTTAATTTAATAATAAATCATAGGCGTGCGCAGATTCCTGTTACCGGTGTACTTTTATTTTTTTTTGATAATCCACCCTCATAAATCCCGCCTTAAAAAAAAAAAAATAGATATACAAAACATAAGTAAGTAGAAATAAAATTTATCAGAAAAACTGATGTACAATCTGATTATCAATGAACGTCAGTCCCGGCAATTTTTATTTTTTTGTAATTTGATAAAATTGATAAAAAAAACTTGATTTTCCAAAAAAAGTTATTAGCCCTTTTTACTTAAGTACCTAGTACCTACCTAAAAAAAAAGTTAATAAATACAGTTAAAAGTTCCTTAAATTTTTTTTGGTCATACATTTTAAAGCAATACCTATGATAAAAATAATTATTATTTAACTCAGCAAATCTTAGTCCTAAAAATAATGTGACGGGATGAAATAAATTATTTGACTAATATTAAACTTCAAATATTAAAATTAATATACTAATAAAAGAGTAACATTTATAATCTATAAATTTAATATTTACTTTTTGTAGGCAACAGTAAAATACATGAATTATTTTAAATTGAAAGTTAATTGATTAATTAATTTTATCATGTGGCTATATATTTACATTTTAGATTTTAAATTTGCTAGACGTGTTGCTGTGTTGATAGAATTAATACAAATAAATACCTATTAGTATTGTTTATTATTTGTTATAGATATCTGTGTTAATCATTAGATATATTTAATTATTTATATTGTAGATGCATTTAGGGGGTGGGGGTGACAGAGTCCCCCACGGTTTTTTTTAGATTAATTTGCTTTGGAACGCTAATTGTTCAGCTACATTTAGAGTCCACCTTTATTTTTTTTTCCAATTCAACCACTGGGGGAGGGGGTACCGGGTTCAAACCCCCCCCCCCCCCAGGGCCAAAGAAAAAAAAAAAGAAAATTGTTTTATTATTGATGACGTGTAATTTATTCGTAGTTTCATTATTACGCTTTGAACTTAAAATATACAACTATACCAATATTGTGATAATTAAATAATTATATTATATTGATAGGTGTTTGAAAAGTTTTGTTAACTATGTTGATTTTATATTCCAATAGCTATTAATTTTCTGTAATGTAAAAGTAAACTGCAAATTGGTAAAAAAATTGTATAAAATAATATCTATAGCAGTTATTTATCTTATTTATCTGTGCAATGATAATAAAAAAGATAACGATTATTTTTGTTAAATCCTTTCAGAGCAAGATTGAATGTACGCCACTGCTGTTTATAGTTTAATAGTTAGACAAAAACTGAAACATTAAAACGTGCAATTATACAATACTGTTTTAATCGTGAATTCGTCAAATATATTATATATCATTGTATATAGCGGAAAAAAAATGTCCAATCCAATAAACCACAAAAATTTACAATTTATTGATGAAATACTGAAATAAATATTCTAGGAAACTGGAGGTGCTAAGCACCTCCGAGCACCCCCCTATGTGCACCTATGGGCGTAATTTTGCTTTTTTGTCTTGTATATGTATAATATATATACATTTTCATCTAGCGTTTTCGCCGCGTTTTCACTGCGCATCAATAACCGCCATCCTAAAACCGCCTCCACACCAAGGAAACATTGTCACATACATTTGTTGCCGAAAAAATTTTCATTCAGCTGAACTTCTTATTATATGATTTTAATTTATGTATTTTGTGTGAAACTATAAAATTCTACAAGAAATGGATGGTTGTACAGCAGTAAACTGTTCCAATACACGTAGTGAAGATTTTCGTCTTTTTCGGTTTCGAAGAGACCCTAAAAGACGAAAAATTTGGTTACAAAATTTTCGCCGAGACAAATGGCAACCTACAAATGCATCTGAGTTATGTGAAGTAAGAAAATCTTTGTATAAGGTATATACTCGTATCATAAGTCATTATTAAAACCAAATTATTACTACTATTAATAGTAATTTTAAACTATTTTATCTATTTACAAGTTGCATTATTATGAAATATACCTAATAAAAAGATTTTTTTTTTAGTTTCCGACAAGCGAGGTGCATTTGGTATATCAAATAATGTCGGTAAAGCATTTGGTTTTAGTTTTTTTACATCATTCAGATGATGTTCGAATTTACCTTCTTCGAAATGGATTTATTGGAATATGGAAAAAATATAGAATAATAAATAATAACTATGTTCTAAAGAAAACGACAAAAAATATTAACATGACTAAATTATATAAATACAATATTATTAAGGCTTCTTAAGTTTAATCTAATACTTACTTCACACAACTCAAATGAATTTGTAGGCTGCCATTTATCCCGGTGACAATTTTGTATCCAAGTTTTTCGTCTTTTAGGGTTTGAATTTGAACAGTTTACTGTTGTACAACTACCCATCTTTGGTGGTATATTATTCAAATTATATTCACGATAGGGTTTAAAAACTATATATATATATATATATATATATATATATATATATATATCAAACTTAATTAGTTTGTGAATGTAATGTAGTGTAATGTAATATAAATAAAATAAAATGTGTCGGTGTAAATCATATACATTTTTTAGTTAATGAAAACTAATGAAAACGTATCTGTAATATCTGTATTCAGTATGTTTTGATAGTAATAATTGGTAATTATTTGTCGCAAAGTGGTGGACGATTATACCTGCTTCTATAGTGCCCTAGTTGCGGTAGACATCAAAAGATGTATATAGACATTATCGTATACAATATATCTACACTCCCAGACGATTAAACTTTGTCTTTGATAAAAAAGATAATAATAATTAATTATAACGATAATTATTTACGACCTTTGGAAACTCGGAATTATTATTGTTCATCGTGTACTTTCCAGACCAATTTGATTTTGACTTTCATTTGATTTCTATTAATTTTGAACATTTTGTAGTTTGTGATCTTGTGAAGTAAACATATTTAGTTTTGCGTTCTCTAATATATATATATATATTTATTTTTACGTTAAAATTATTATGGAGTAGACTAAAAATACCTACAATACGAATAATATTTTTTATTTTGTTCACTTTATAATATTTAAAAAATATTTTTATTTTTGTTATTTAGATACTTAGAGTTACAAAACCTTGTCCTGCTTACGAAAAAGAGTTTGAAAAAGCAAAAAATGAAACGGAAAAACTAATGTTAATCAAATACGAACGATTTTTCAATTACGTATCTAACCACACGGGTATGGAAATAAAACATTTGTCAGACGTTGAAAATATATTCAATTCGCTTAACATTCAAGTAAATAGTAGTTTATTATAGTATGTTACAATATTGTAATTTATTTTATCATTGCCGGCAGTGATGTAGTCGACAAAATCTAAGCTAAATGTATCTATCAAATTCTAAATTAATTGATAAAACAGAGTGTTTTTAAAATAGTTTAGGAAACTAGTACACGTATAAGAGGATTGTACACTAGTGACTTGACAATTCGAACGCACGTCTCCGCATGTTTCGAACGTCGCAGTTAATTGCTCAAAATTAAACATGCACTTTTCTAAGGGTTTATTCATATACGTAAATGAGACGAAATGGGTGAATGGTCACCTAAGCCAAAATTTCGATTTCTGGCAAATGGTTAGTCAAAAACATTATAAAATACAAAAAAAAAAGTATTGACTTGTAAGGTACAATATACTTACAATTCAGATTTTTAAAGCGAATGCAAATTTTTTAAAAAAAATGTGGAAATGACCTCCATTACCCCTAAGTAGGGATAATGATAATCAGTCAAAAACCCAAACAAATTAATAGGGAAAATCATAATTTTTTTTATTCTACTCATAATTTCATAAATAAACATAAAAATACTTTTATTAATAATAGCCTCTACATAATAATATGGGTAACATCAGTGCCGCAACTACACACTATGAGGCTGGTATGTAAATCTGAATTTGGGGCCTAAATTTTTTTTTAAAAAAGTATTTACCTAATATAAATAAAATATATTAACTGGTGTTTATATTATGGAAGGTAGTTTAGTGGATCTTTAATTTTAAATTACCTGCATTATTTTCTGCTATTTCTGTTCTAAGAATTAATATTACTATAGGATTATAAATACTTTAGTAATATAATAGTATCCCATAATAGACTACCATTCACTCCTACGTTCGGTCGCGTTCGTCGCATTTGAATGCGCTGAAACGTGCATGTTTAATTTTAAACGTTCCTTAACTATAATTAAACAAATGATTTTGCGGGTAACCAACGTTTTTGGGTAGTCGGTACTAGAGTTCTTAAAACACGTGTCACGGAATTCACGTGTACACGTGAAATATGTGTTTATCCAAGTATAAATCCATTTTTATAATGATGAAAATTAATAATTTTATGTTATACACTTAAAGTTTTAATAAAATATTATTAGTATAGTATTAAGTTAAGGATATACGTTTTTATTTTGAATTTTACACGTGACACGTGACACATTAATTCCGTGAATTCACGTGTATTAAGAGCTCTAGTCGGTACCCATTACTCAAAATGTTCGGCTACTCAATAGTTTTTAATAGACGTAAATGGTTAAGCTGAGACCTGGTTTCTAGGAGGAAATTAGTATTATAATATAATATAAACAATTATGCGAATAAGAAATACTTCCTCTTTTAATAAAACAAAATTATGGTTTAAAAATAAAATGTTTAGTATTTTTGGTGAGCTATTAGCGTTACTATAATTTAATAATAAGTTTATTTAAGTATAATGTTGAATACCATGTTTAAAGCTATTTTAAATCCTATGTTAAAACCTTGCAGGTAACGACTATAGTGGATATAATATTTACTTTTTATGTGTAGCTACGTACATTATACGAGTAAGTAGTCAGAGTCATACGTAACAATCATATGCAGCAAGTGCGATAATATTATGCCGGGTCCACACAGAGACGACAAAAGTAAAACAAAACAGAAACCAGGGCCATGTTAAGGGGGGGGGGGTCAAATGGGGCAATTGCCTCCGGTCGCCGAAGTTTTTAAAAAGTAAGGGGGCGCCGTTATCTGCACTTAATATGCTACCTGTGCCTAGTGGCCCCGTAGAAAAAATTTTGCCCCGGGGCGCTGAAATTTTTGACACGGCTCTGACAGAAACTCGGTATTTTTTCAACAAAATCAAAACATTTTCACAACAATTGTGTTTTTTCCAAAAAATTATTCGTATTTTTAAAAACAGTCATGTCCTAAGCGGTGTCGGTAAAGATCAAAAGGTTTTCGTTTTGTTGCTGTTTTGGAGAGCATTGTCGAGCGTGTGTGGACAATGTTTTAAAAATAACCAACAGTTTAGTGAATTCTTCATCTTCACTATTTTTCTCATTTTCCACATTTTAATTTATGTCGATTTACTAAAGATAATTTTTCACTATATACTTTTATTTAAAAATAAACAACTGAAATACCGAATACTGAACGGCTGAATTACTTGCACTTCAGTGACTGACTGAATGAATAACTGATCGTTGAAAATAAGTTATGTAATTTCGAAACAAACTTGGTATGGATAAGAAAAAACAAAAACAAAATGTTTGAATTTTGTTAATTTTTTTTTGATATTTAATTGAGTATGGACACATGTTTTGTTTGTATTTTATTTTTTCAAACTAAATAAAATTGGGTTTGTATTTTGTTTTTGTTTTGTTTGTGTGTCGTCTCTGTGTGGACCTGGCATTATATTGTTATCAGATAGCTAGTTAGTCTTGTGTATCTTCTTGTGTACAAGTTGTTAAGATAACTGTAGCCTTTTAGCTAAATAAATAACGAGTGTAACGTTACAAACCATAACGAGTACCCAATCCATAACGGGTACCAGAAATCTTGTAAGTCGGGTAATACCCGTAAAACCAGAGTACCCGGGTACTCGGGTCTCAAGAACTAGTAATCAGCTATAAGGTAACTTTTATCTGGTTTTTAGTTATCACTATAACATCATTATTTTGACTTGGATTTGATAAAGATTTCTTTTTGAACTTATTTATTGGAGTTACAGTTTTTTTGTCAAGTTAGGAGTTCGAAAAATAGAGCATGAAAATTACTCTTTACTAATTTAGCCCCAACAATAGGATGCACCGAATGGAACCTTCTATGTTTTTTATTTTCAAACAATAAAGTAAAATAGCTTTTTCTACTTTCATGGTTGAGAGAAAAATAAATAATTGATAGCAATAATTGTATTTTAATATTTATTGAATCAGATACTTGTGTACGAAAAGTTTCTCGTGTGAAAGGTGCTCACACAGAGAAACTTTATAATTTATAATTATATAAGTTATAACCGTAATTCATCTATATTTATACACGAGTAGTGATGGGCAAATACCCGGTAAATATAATTTCAGCTAAATATCGGGTATTTACCCGATAAATTGGATAAATTTATTTTAATGCTAAAACCAATTCATGGATATCACAATACTTTTTTATGATTGTTTCCTGATTTTTTCATGTTTTTCCAAGACTGATCTATAGATATTTGAATCTATTCTATAATCAATGATTGTAGTATCAGTTATATGCACAGATACATACTATTTACAAATAAAAATATTAAATAGTATATACCTATGGTATATGATATCGATACCTATCAGTAGTAAAAATAGAAATATACAGTTTGACTAGATTAAAAAAAAAATATTTACCCACATTTTTGGTAGGTAAATATTATAGTTGGTAAATACCTAGTAAATACCCAAAATATTTACCTACTCGTCGTGTATTTATCCACGGCACATCAATATACAGGAGTAATACGATGTAACATTATAAATATAATAACAACAATAATAGTCGTCAATTTCTATAATAATCATTGGCTCAACTAGGGGGGGGGGGCTTTAGGGGGGGTAGCTTCCCCAAATGTTTTTGATTATTTAAAATTTAATGATAATTTAAGCATAGGATAGTAAGGTACATACTAAATAATATGAGTATATGACGCAGAGAATTATTCAAAAGTAAATTGTATAAATATAAAATATTATTATTATAGTTTATTTTGTAATTCCTAAAATCCTACATAATTAATAATAATATTTTTATCTAATAAATGTGACGAACGACGGTGAAATATTGCGGTGGTGTTATGTCATATTTTATGTAAAACATACTACATAGAAGTATGTACAGGATTTTTAATAATATATGTATGGTAATAATATTTTATGATTGTTTTTATTTCAATTAATAATTATTGTTCTGTGTCTGTGGCAATTGAGGGTATGGGTGGGCGAAGCCCCCCCATGGCTCACATTGATTAAATTTATTTGTAGGGCTTTAGCTCCCCCAATATTTTAGACCTAGTTGCGCCAATGATAATAATTTATCTTTCTATTCTATATTACAATAAGAATTAAATTAAAAAGGACCCGACAGTGGTAAATCGGGAGCCCGGATCATAAATATGAATGGGAGCCCAGGGTGCTACTTGGTATATACTACCCTGGGCCAGTCCGCCCCGGCTCATACAAATCGATATGTCACATTACATTTTTTTGATTCTGGTGACTCGGGTGTTATAAACGCGTGTCAAGCCCAAAATCGATGACACATATCGATTTACATGAGATATTTACAATAAATCTCTTACTAGCATTGACTTTTAGATTTAAGATTGAATGCAAGTAAGATAATATATATTCTTTTTAGTCTCGCCAAAGTAAATTTTTAGAGGTATTGCAAAGGATACCTGCAAAGCAAGACCCACCCACCTACCCTCAGTAGGTTGAGTAACGGCCCTCAATTTTTTTTTCAATAATTTTAATAACTTCGAACAATAATAAGTAAATTTAATGATTAGTGTTTATGTTCATCTTAATGTTAGTTATGATGATAAATAAAATAATTTATAACTTTCATAAATTAAAATAATATTAGCCAGTATGTTTCGCATGCTTACCACACCCACCCTTAACAGGTATTGCAACTGCATACAGGGATCGGCGCCAATGATTCTTTTAGATTTAATATAATGTTCTAAAGGGTGTCAGTTGTTTTCGCCAAAACGGAAATGTTCGATTTTCATTTCCGCCAAATCTATTTCTACACATCTTTCTAAATTATAGTTTGAGAACTATTTAGAGTTACTCAGGGGCCTCCCCGGAGAGGTGGTTCTTATTAACCCCCAAAAAATTATCTGACTTAATTTTTGGATTCATGTTTTTGAACCTCAATTGAATTTTATAATTAAATTTGTATGTATCTATACATATATATAGAGTCAAATATTTCTTATAATTCTATTAATTATTTATTATTTATTATTTCAAATAATTGTTATATATTTTTTTAAAAACGTATGAATAATATATGTAATATATATATATATATATAAATTCTAATATATTAAATAAATACGTATATTATTTACGATTCACACAGCTATGTTGTCACAGTACTGATATATTCGATCACAGAATTCCAATCCCTATAACACAGACACTAACTACGCATGATGTAGATTATAACTTTTAATATTATACAGTTCGATTTATATTTATTTATAATGCATGGGAATTATTGAACGTGAAATCAATTATCTCTAATCAAAAATCAAAAATCTCGCCCGTTTTAAAGAGAACCTATTCCCAGTAGGATATTTCCCCATAGCCACCCGCCCAGTCTGCCACTGCTTACATATATTATATATATTTAATCAATAACTATACTTAAATTATATATCGCATACTTAAAATATTATATATGATATGGGGCAATGCAGTATATTAACTTTTACTATATTTTTGATTAGTCATTTGTTATGCCTAGGTAGTACCTAATAGGTACTTATTAAATTTATAAAGTATTTAAAATATTTAATACATAATAATGTCATGTTTTTAGCAAAGAAATCATATGACTCTGCCATCATGGGTAAAAGTAAAGAATTATATGAGCTTGATGGAAGATATTGTTTTGGAATGGTCGATTACTTATTCAAAAACAGATCAAATGAAAAAATTTCGGTCTGGTAAACTTATTGGAGAAATAGTCAGAACGATGAGAGACAAAATGGACGAAAGATTAGATCCGAATAAAAAAATATTTGCTTACTTTAGTCACGAGCAGACTTTAATAGATTTTTTACATACATTAGGAATGAAAAATCTTTTTAAACCTAGTTATGGGGCAGCAGCTTTTGTTGAATTGCATAAAATCCGAGGAGAACACTATGTTAAAGTAAATATTACATTTAATTATTGAGATAGGTTAAGTTAAAAAAATTGAAGGTATGATATTTTAAATGTATGAACATGTTTTATTTTTTTTAAGATATTATATACAAAATCCTATGATACTCCAGATCTTCTATCATTGGATATGGAAAGTCAAACGAGTTTTCTACCAACTTTAGAAGATTTCATAATAAAAACTGAAAATTATATACCGAAAAATTGGGATAAAGAATGTCAGCTTAAATAATTATTGATTAATTTGATTGATTTAATACTTTAAATATTATATTATACAAATATAATAAGTAATTAGGTGTATACGGACAGAGCCATTTTTAAGGGTATGTAAGGCCCCAGGGCCCAATATATATCGGGGCCCTTTAAATACATAAATTGTGATACATATATTTATTAACATATCAATTATAATTATAATCTATTAATAAAATTATTTTTATTTCTTTTTTTTATTTAAATAATTTACAATTTATACAACAGTTAGTATAATAAGTAAAATTTATAGCTAATAATGGTTAGTGACAGGATATTAACATTTATGGGCAAGCACTCAGCAGTACCATCCAGCCGGGTACATTTTAAGTATTATACATTTTTTTTTTTTAGTTTTAGTTCTTATTTTAGTAGGCCATTGCCTTTTGAGTATTCTATTTAAATTACGGGAAAGTGAGGTGGAAGATTGTTGTTTTATCAATGGGTTACCGTGAGAGTTTAAGTTGGTGTAAAATTGGTGTAAATTTGAAGTAATAGGTATGATTTTGTTAATTCATTGAGTGTAGGAATTTTTAAGTCTTTGTGAAGATTGTTTGAGAAGTAACAATGAAAAAACATTAATATTTGTAGGTAGATGAATTGAAATGCCTGAAGCGTTTTAATATTGGATGGCTTTGCAGTTCTCCATAACTAGATACCGTATGTCCAAACTGGTTGAGTTATTGTTTTATATATGATAATTTTGTTGGATAGGGAAAGCTTAGATTTTAAGAGTGGTATAAGGGTATGAAGTTTAGAGTAAACAGTTATGCGTTTAAGTTTTATGTGTGGACTGCAGGTTAAGCATTTATCTAAAATTAGACCAAGATATTTAACTTCGTTTGCCTTTGGAATTGTTAGATTGTTTAACGAAACAGGTGAATAATTGAGATTTCGTAGTTTTTATTTTTTTTTATTTTTTAAGTGATAATATACAATCTATACAAATAAGCACAATAAGTATATGTGAAAAGAGAAGTTATACATGAATTAGAAATCACCCTATGGTAACCCCATAAAATTGAAAAGATTGGAAGGTGGGAGTAAGAAGGCAGGAAATTTATTAAGCGGTAGGTAAGGTGCACATATTTTTTTTTTTTTTTTAATTTAAGAGGTCTCTGCACCATCTTTTTAGCCTCCTATGAGGATTTTCCGGGAGCGTTAAGGAATTTAGGCTTTGAATCGGTGGATTTTCGTGATTGTTTAGGCGTGAGAAGAATCGTTTGTAAAAGATTACAGATTCTTCTTCTATAGATTTCATACGAAAATCGTTATGAAGAGTAAGATTAGATATGTAGGGTTGGGTGTTTGTGATTTTTCTTAGTGTTATATTTTGATAGGCTTGAATTTGGTTTAGGTTCGATTTTTTGATTGTACCCCAAAACTGTAGTCCGTATGACCAGATTGACTTTATCAGTGATTTGTATATTAATAACTTAGTTTTTAAACTTGAACATTTATTATTTGTAATTAAATTTTTAAGTGAACGGGAGCGAGAGTTTAAAATTAATCTTTTTGATTTGATATGTTGGTTACAAGTTAGTCTTTTATTTAGTATGATGCCAAGATATTTTACTGAGTTGGACATAGGAATTGGTATATTGTCAACTGTGACAGGCGGGCAAGAACCATGTTTAAGAGAGAAGGTAGTGTGGACTGATTTACTGTGGTTGAATTTGATTCTCCATTTGGTATACCATTGTGAAAGTTGATCAAGATGGGATTGAAAATTGGCTGAAGCTGTAACTGGATTTTTATGGATCGACATTATAGCTTTATCATCGGCATAATCGGCGACTAGGGTGTCTTGCGAAATGAGTTGATCGGAGGAGTATATATTGAAAAGAAGAGGCGATAAAATGGCTCCTTGGGGTACTCCTGCATTGATTGGGGCCAAATCGGAAGTGCAAGACCCGAGGTGAATTTGGAAATATCTATCAGTTAAATACGATTTAATAAGAAGAAAAAGTGACGAGGGGAGAAAATTACGAAGCTTGAATAAAAGACCATCGTGCCAGACGCGATCGAATGCCTGGGATATGTCTAGGAATGCACAGGTACAGTATTGTTTGCGTTCGAGAGTTGTTGAAATAGCATCAACTAGTCGATGTATTTAGTGGATTGTACTATGGTTGGTACGGAATCCAAACTGAGATGGAGGAAGGATGTTATTGGTGATAATATATGGGGAAAGGCGCTGAAGTATGAGTCTTTCACAAATTTTTGAAAGGAACGGTAAAAGGCTTATAGGCCTGTAAGAATCAGGAGAGTCAGGTGGTTTATTGGGTTTGGAGAACATAACGATGTGAGAGAATTTCCATAGTAAGGGGAAGTAAGAGAGTCTTAGAATTGCGTTGTAAATGTAAGTTAATAGTATGATTGCTTTTTTCGGTAGACACTTAACGACTTCTGCGGTTTTTAGGTCGAAGCTAGTAGTTTAAAATTATGTTTTTCACCTCGTTAGGAGTGTAGTATTTTGTAGGAGGTCCTATTGATAAGGAGGAATCTAGAGATTTTTTAACGTTACTCATGTGTAGGTTATTAACGATATCAGCATGAGTTTGGAAAATATTTAAAAGGTGTGATTGAAACACAGCAGCTTTTTCTGGGTCACTAATAGCTAAGGAGTTATCTTCTTTTCTGAGAGGGGTTGAGATAGATTTATAATTTAGTAACCTTTTGGTTTCTCGCTAGAGGCTGCCATCTGCAGCCGACGATTTGTGTAAATTCTGTTCGAAAGTATTTGATTTATGTTTTGCAAGAACTTTTTTTAATGAATTTGAAAGTTTATTATATTTTATTTTATGAGATGGGAGATGGGAGGCCTGGTACCTTTCTCTTGCCCTGCGTTTTTCGACAATCAGATTACGGATTTTTTCTGGGAAAAGGTGTGGCTTGGGTTTTACGTTTCTATTTTTGTCGGGCATGGTAGTTGACCATGCTGTCGATTGAATGAGATTTGTTAGATTATAGACTGCTTCGTCTATATCTGTGTTGGACTTAAGTTTAATATTTAAATTTATTTTTTCATTAATTAGATCGTGGAATTGTTTACGATTAGTTAAGGGGGAGAATAGTTTAGGAGGCTCTATGCGAACTGATGGTGTTGCAAAAGTCGAAAGTAATACGGAGGAGTGATCTGAGTTTAAGTCTAAAATATAATAGGTAGAGCAATATAAGTTGCCCGGAATTTTAGCTGAGAAGATATCTAATATATCTGGACTTTTTTTAGGAGAGGTAGGCCAATAAGTAGGTCCTGGTGGTGATAAAATTTGGAAATGTCTTTCGTTGGCTAAGTTGTAAAGTACGGTGCCGCGAGGGTTGTTGGCACGACAACCCCAGCTTTGGTGCTTGGCGTTGTAATCACCACCGACAATAAAATTATTTTTAATTTAATTAAAGTAATTTGAAAGTATTTCTTTAGTGGTCTTGTGACGAGGGGGAGAGTAAAATGCGCCAATAGTAAGTGGTATGTTGTTTAATTTGATTTGGATAGAGCAGGATTGTATATGATCAAAACTTTAGTTAGGAAGCGGCTGATAAAATAAGGAAGCTTTAACTAGAATTGCAACACCACCGTGTGCGGTATTGTCTGGGTGGTTCGATTTTAATGAAAAGTAACCAAGGATATTTATATAGAAGTATTTTGTGAAATGGGTTTCTGTTATTAGTGCTATATCTACACGTTTATTATATAAAACTGTTTGTAATTCATTGATATGATTTTTGAGACCGTTGGCATTGATGAGGAGGATTAGGAGTGAGTTGTTTGTGGCATTGTTATTCATTTTTTTTATCTAATAAACTTGAAATTACTTTTGTTAGTAGAGAGATTAGAGGATTAATTAAGGTTTTGAAATCATTCAGGAAACTTGTCATTAAGAGTGTGATATTGGTTTCTGAAAGAAGTAAGGTATTAGGTGTTGAAGGTGTTAATGTATGCCGAGCTGTCTGATTGGCTATTGCCTCTGCGTAGGATTGATTTTGCACCTTGGGAGAATTAGTAGGAGTGGGACCTAAAGGGTGATTATCTTGTACATAATTAGACTTAAAATTAGTATCTTTAGTATCGAAAAAAAATTTGTTATTATTGGAATTTGATTTCTTACGGTGTTGGAGCTCTTTGTAAGTAGAACAACCCTTGTAGATCGCCGGGTGGTTTCCGTGACAGAGTGCACAGCAAGGAGGTTCATCTCGAGATTTCGGACAGGAAGAAGAGTGGTGATCTTTTCCACAGCGGACGCAGCGAGGTGGGTGGCCACAATACGCCTTTGTGTGTCCATAGACCTGACAATTAGTACATTGGGCGATCGTTTTAGATTTGTGGAGTTCTTCAACCTTTATTTTTGTATGAAGAAGAAAATTGAGTTCGAATATTTCATTTGAGTGGGTCGTTGGTTCTAAATCTACATAAAACAGTGGAAGCTGTTTTTTTGTTTAGTCTGTGGAGTACCTGAGAGACTTGACGGACTTCAAAAAGACGTGTTTCCAGTTCACTTTTTATTAAACTAGTTGGTGTAGTAGGATGTAAATTACGGATCACCATGCGAGTTGGTTTATCCTCTTTCAGTTGAAACGTGTGAAATTGTGCTTTTTCATTTCTTAAGAACTTGACTGGCGTTCTGTATGCTTCAGGATTTGTTGTTTGGATTTTTAGTTGATCTATCGTTGACTTGCACTGAAAATTATCAACACCAATTAACTCGCAGAGTTCGGTGCATAATTCAGGGAAATCGCGAACGTATTTTATGAATATAGAAGGGGGAGGTTTGAAAGATGAGGGAGCGTCTGGTTCGAAATTTGTATCCTGCGAATCTTCAGCGGGAGGTTCTACCGATTGTTCCATTGAGCTGAGAACTTCGAAACGATTATTCGTAATTAATAATTTTTTTTTTTAGTTTTAGTAGGGCGCATTTGTGGAGAGGTTGGTGAGTCCGGGTTAGAATAAGAGGAATTGGAGTGATTCCTTTTCTTTTGAGTTGACCAGTCGCTCGTTGGTGTGACGTTAGACGAAGAAGCCTTGTGATTTGAATCATTTAGATTTGTATTTACATTAAGTTTTGGTTTTGCGAGTTTGTTGATCGGAGGCATATCAGCGTTGTTGTTTTTGTTCGTAGTTGTTGACATTGTGGTCGATGCGGAAGTGATTAATCAATTAGATTAGCCGGTCCGTCAAAGACG